GGGCCTTATTCTTCTCTCATTTGTTTTTCCTTTTTCCATATGACATATCATCCAGGTTCAAAGAACCAATAAGACAATGCTTTGTCTAGTATGTTTCCAGTGGGAAAACCCATCAGTCAAAAGAGACAATACTATAATTTTGTGGGAGTAACAGCCCATTTACTAAAAGACATACAGTAAGCAAGCTCATCTTTATCTGTTGCTTGCCTTCTTGCATACATACACTAAACCCTGACAAGAGCGGTTTCATTATTGTTTGAGAGAGCTCCTCATTTGCTCAATTTCGTAGCTTAAAAAAGCCCAATCGGTAGTGCAATAAGGGGGGACCTGGCACAGGTATTTCGTTTTTTGCTGAGGAGGCTTACAGAATTCTGACAGCGGACTCAGAGGTGACAGACAGTGCCTCAGAGTTTGACGCAGCTGAACGTGACAATTAATTTTTGCCTGATTCTACAGGGCCCACTAGTGTAGCCAGTGACACAGATGACCCTCTGATAATTTTGCACTGATAATTCTGATAAAGATTTCCTTATTCCACCTTTCAAAGCAAATATGAATTGGGGAGATGCTTATATTAGAAAATAGATGATGCCTTTGAGAGTTATTTTGCTCTAAAATGAGACATAGGCCCAGAATCAACTTAAAATATATGAAATTGGTATGTCTCAAACTTTCCCTTTCAACATCCACATATACACTGGGGTATCTATTTTAAGAAATGTTAAGCTTTTGTGGGGTAGTTTGAACAAGCAACCTGCTAAAATGCTCCAAAATTGGACATGACACCAGCACCAAATTACAAAGTGTGAAAATAACTGAAATGGCTATGTCTTAAATGTACCCTTTCAAAATCTACATACACCTGAAAAATGTACACATAATGGTTATTGCAGTACTCAGAAGACATAGCTGAGCAACATATTAAGTGTTAAATTGCGGTAACACACAAGGATTAAAAATATACAGAAGAATCTCAAAGTAGGTGTCAAATGGTAGAAAAAACACCTACTATCACTACACATGACACAAACTAGAGAAAAAAATGATCCTATGCTAAGATTCAAAATATGCCATATGAGATACCCTGGGATGTCTACTTTAAGTAATGTTAGACCTTTGCTGGATTGCTTGAACTTACAACCTGCTAAAATGCCCCAGTCTGAGACATAGACCCATCAGCACCATCTATGAAAATTCACTTAAAAAGAGGAAATCTCTTATATTGCACTGTAACTTCACAATATAGTGGCAAATTCATATGTTGGGTGCAGCAGCGGAACTACTTCCAGTGCAGCTGGTGCAGCTGTACTGGGGCCGGCACACAGAGCAAGTCCATTGGGTGGCCCATGCATTTACGCCCAGTATGTGTCTTCAGGGGCCTGGTCATGTGATGTGGCCCTTTAAACAATTCCTTTCACTTTCACTAAAACCAAGTCATGAAAGAGGGAGAGGGAGGTGAAGACATAGGGGGGGATGAAGGGATGTGGATTTAGAGAGCCAGCAGCTAACTCCCAACAGCCTCAGCAAGCAGAAGCCACCCTAGTGCACCAAAGAGGTAGGAAACGGGGGTGGCTGAACATATTTCAATTTTGACCTGCATGTGTGTAATAGTGTTTCGATCTGTATATCTGTATGTGTCCGTGCATCTGTTTGTGTGTAAGTATGTGTGTCTGTGTGTCCGTGAAGTGTTGTGTGTGTCTGCATATTTGTATGTGTGTCTGTGTATATGTATGTGTCAGTGTGTGTTTGCGTATCTGCATATGTATCAGTGTCTGTATCTGTGTGTCTGTATCTGTGTGTGTGTCAGTGTTTGTATCTGTGTGTATGCGCATCAGTATGTATTTCAGAGTTTGTGTCTGTGTAGCTGCATGTGTGTCTTTATATCTGCATGTGTTCACCTCTGTTTCTGTGTATCTGTAAGTGTGTCATTGTGTGCATCTGTATGTGCTGTATGTGTGTCAGTCTGTTTAGCTGTGTGTAGTTGTATCTTTGTATTAGCAAGTGTGTCAGTATGTATCTGTGCATGTATCTGCATGTGTGTATCTGTGTATCTGCATGTGTGTCAGTGTGTGTGTATGTGTATATGGGCATACATTTCAGCATCTTGTCAATACTACACAAATACACCCCTGCATTCAAATTTCAACACTACATACAAACATACCTCTGCATTAAAACACTGACATTATATAAAAACACACTACTGCATTCAAAAGCCAAACTACACACAAATGCATGCCTGCATTCAAACATCAGCACTACATACAAGCACACTAATTCATTCACTCACACATACTTTATACAAAAACATGCTTACATTCAAACACCACAAACACTGTGCAGGGTGCTAAGTACAATCCTGCAAAGATAGACAATGCTTGCAAAGCATTGTGGTAGTTGTACAACAGATGGGGATCTACCTTGCGATACGGGTGGCCCAAAAAAGACTTTCACCAGGGCCCTCTCTAAGTTAGTTATGCCACTGCATGGAAATATTGTTTTTTTTCAGAAGATGTAGCCGAGGATGATTTTGTGGAATTTATCACAATAGCACACATACCCAGCAAAAATGTTACATTAAGTAAATACCCTGTGATGTCTAGAAATACATAATTTTGTGTTGGAGTTTTGCTTTCTGTGATGGCTATTAAACTTAGAAAACAAACATGCCAAACTCTAAAATTGTTTCACGATGAAATTGCATATATGCCTTGGATTTTGTGACCTGTAACTACTACCAAAATGAATTGAAATCCTAGACATATGATGTACTATGTAATTAAGGACAAATACATTTTGTTATATTTTTGTTGTCATTTTATCTTTTATAGAGGCATTAGAGTGATGCAAGACAGAGTATAATCAGGAACAATGTCACATGAACCAAGCATTGCAACATGTCAAAATAAGTTCCTTGAAAAAAAAAAAACAGCTTCATTTTTATAAAGTAAAACAATAATGAGAGTACACAGGCTAGAACATGTCCCTGTTTTCAGAAGATGCAATGTAGCTAGAGGTGGAGAGACATGTAAGGGAGATGGTGAGTGTGCAACTGAGTGAGCATAAAGAACACCAGTTTCTAAATAGTGTCATAGCAATAAGATAGCTCAGATATCGCTACATGGTGGAGGTGCACACACTGTGGAGAATATATCACTAGGACTGGTCATAATGTCGACATTATGGTACTACAAGCCTTATGTCAGTAAAAAAAAAAAAATGCTTCTTGACCCCAGAATAGCAGCCCCATTGGATCAATAACCTATTACCAAACAAATTAAAAATGATATACCTAAATATTATGTTTTTGCAATAATTCATCAAATTTCTACAGACTGTGATAAACCACCTCTTCACGCAGAACATTCCACATCTTTATTGTTCTACTCCTTTCTTCCAGTATAAAAATGTGACATTGTGTCCTATGTGTAGTCCTGTTTATGAATACTCACTGTCTGTAGTCACTGTCTTTCTAAACTAAACAGATTTAAATTTGTTAACATTTCTTCATAACTAAAATATTCCATTCCTTTTATAATCATTTTGTAGCCAGCCTCTGCACTTTTTCTAGTGCCATAATATCCTTCTTTAGAACAGGTGCCCAAAATTGCACAGCATATTCAGTATGTGGTCTTACTAGTGATTTATAATACATACAATCACACTAATTCATTCACTCACACATACTTTATACAAAAACACTGTGCAGGGTGCTAAGTACACTCCTGCAAAGATAGACAATGCTTGCAAAGCATTGTGGTAGTTGTACAACAGATGGGGATCTACCTTGCGATACGGGTGGCCCAAAAATGTTATATTTCATTCTGAGAATTAATGCCCCTCTTTATACATGACAATACCAACTGGCCTTAGCAACTGCCGATTGACATTGTGTACAGTTGCGTAGTAAAACAAACAAATCATTACCATGTGTGGTTATCTCTAATTTTCACCCTATCCCTTCCCATGTCGCCATAATGGTGGTATTAACACTACAGGGTCAGGAATACATGTAGTTGCACTGGTGACTATAGTTTCCCTTTAAGTAAGTGAAGTCCAGTAAGAGCAGAAGGTGGAGTGTATAGACATAGGCATAAAGTTTAATTCCAGGGGTGCGGGCTATTCATCGTACAACTTTACCAACTGCTACTGCTGTTTTTTTTTTGGTAATTCTTTATTTTATTTGTGCAGAGATTGTTACATTCAGTGTGCGCTGCTAGGGCACATAGAACTTCAGACATAGGTTTACATTGGTTAGGCAGTAGAATTCAATGTACATTTTTAAATTATTGTCGCATAACAAAGTGTTGCATCTATTCTAGTTGGTTATAAGGGTGATGAACAAGGCTGGTGAAACACACAGTATAATAAAGTTATCTGTTGAGTTGACATAAACTGCAGGTTGAGACTGCAGGTTGAGCATAATTTCAAGATTAGTACTGATAACAATACTGGTGTGGCATACAAGTAATATACGGAAAGAAAAATAACAATAGCAATAACGAATTACTCTGTAAATTCTTGGAGTGCATGAAAACTGGTGCATAAAAGTGAACCACTTAATGAGCGTATGTTTGCTAGCTCAGCCTATTTAAACAAATAGGTCACTTAAAGTAATGTTCATCATGTTGTGCTATCTCACTGTGGTGTGTGTACGCTCAAGAGACAGCATAGTTGCACGTGGCGTCCGCGGGGATTTGTTGGTGAACAGTCACCCAGGGTGACACACAGTCACCCTCTGAACTGTTTCCCCAGTCTGCTTCAGCCTCCCCTCGAGAGAACTTCAGCACAGTGGGCACTCGGGGGCAACTTGGGCCCTTGTATGTCCCCTCCCCCCCAAGAGTCTGCAGTCCCATAGCCTCCTGCACCTCCCCTGGTCCTCTGATGCTCCGGTGGTAACACTTGGTGCCCTGAGATGTCTCACCCATCGCCAGCCACTTACACATGAGAGAGGGTGTGCCGCCCCCTAGCCACCGGTCCGCCGGAGGCAGGCAGGCCTCTCACCCGCAGGGCTCGCAGCTGTGGGGACATTTCCCTCCAGATTCAGAGGGCGGGCATCCGTGTCGATGGCTTATGGGCGGTCTGAGTCTCCCGTCCATGGCCCGCTCCATCCTGGGCTCGTTAATGTGGATTGTTGTGTCCCATGGGGTGATAGTATGTGTCCCTTCTGTGTCCATGTTCTTGTCGGCTGGCCGGCTGTTCCTCCTGCAGCTGTTGCCAGTACAGGCGTGCGGTGTGTGGCCACCGCGGGAGCGCCCGCAGCAGTGAGGGCCGCCGCCATGTGGCCGGGATGATCCCCGCCGGCCAAGGGGGGGGGGGGAGCGGGCTGTGCCCCGTGCCAGGTGACTGCTCCATGCATGGATGTTACGCTTGTGTGGTGTCTCTTGTCTGGATGCCTCCATGGAGTGTATCTCCACATTGCTGGCTGCATTCATCGGCCGTTTGAATTCAGGCATCTTGCCGGGGATTGCATTGTCTGTTCACCTGATGTGCATTAGGGTCTTTGCCGGTATCGAATTGAACCTGGGGTCGTTCTCCGTTCAATGGTAGTGGAGAAGCCGACCCAATAGCGGTCAGTATCAGCATTTTGCGCCCTCTTCAAGGGCTCCTACTGCTGTTTTCTGAATAAGAAAACATTGTTTAAAGATACAGAGAAAAACTTTACACAAGTTAACCAATTATAATGATCAGTTGTTTGGGCCTAACATTTGTCAATTTACAGCAATTTAGTGAATAAACCATTGTGAGTCTGTTATTTTTTTCTCTTGAAGCACAGTTTAACATTCTTGGAAACAATATAGCAAATGTATTAAAATGTGTTGTAAATATTCTTTAAATACAAAATGTATTCATTAGAACAGCACTTTTGCTGCAGGTGTGTCACATGAATGGCCTTTCAGCCGTCTTCCTTGACTGGCTGCGCACCTTTTCAATTAGTCGTCGTGCCACGAGTTTGGTAAGCCGAGATTAATAGTTAGCCATTACAAAATGTGACGGGTGAATTAATAATAACATTTCCCAGGAATGGCATTTTCATCACCTCCACATTAATGACTATTCCTGAATGGCCAAATTCACAAATCATTATACTTGACTAGATTCGATTTTTCCAGCGTTCCCGTGGTTATAATGAAAGTCTAACTAATACACTAAGTCATTTTCTTTCAACTATCATCGCGAATGGCTATTGGAAAATTCAATCTTCTGCGTTTCTTTCCACTTTCCAAATTCATGATTTCAGGAATTAAATAAATACTAAAATAATGAGTACTATGATGTATCAGGGTTATTAAAAGGAAGCGTTGAGTTAATTAAATAACGTAGAATTAATCCAAAAACGTAAACGCAAGAAACAGCCTTAAGTCGTAAAATACAGAAAAACACATTGGCAGGTCACATTGTAAAGCTTATTAGGATAATTGCTAGGAATCTATAGGATATCACATCGAAATGAACATGGTCTGATCACCTGGAAAAAAGTAACAGCAATTCTTTCTTCAAACAACATTGACTTTAATAAGAGCTGAAAATGTCATGAATTTCAACTTAAAGGTACACTAAAGTGACCCAGAACAAATACAGCTAATGTAGTTGTTCTGGTGCCTACACCCTGTCCCTTCAGAGAAAAGTGTTTACATTACTACCTAGGAGCACCTTTAGTCAGAGGCCACCAGGTCCCGGTGTTAAAACTGTACTTTGCCTCCCCCCATGTGTCTCAGCCCCCCTCCCCCTGCCACTCCACGTGTCTCACCCCCCATCTACTCCATGTGTCTCACCCCCCATGTGCCTCTTCTAAGCCCCAAGTATCTTCCTCACTTACCAACCCCTACATGTGTCTCTCCCAACCCCTGGATGTTTTTTACCCACCCCAGGCTCCCCAATGTGTCTCTTCCATCCTCTCCATATGTCTCTCCCACCCAATCCCTCTCTCATTTCCATAGGTTTGAGACAGACAGACACACTCACTGACACACACACCGACAGGCAGACACACACACATACTGACAGACACACCCACACACTCTTACACACTCTCAACATTTAATTACATTTTTTTGAGGCCCATCCAGTCTCTACCTTCTGGAGAGCTGGTGTAGGTCCTCTCCCTGGGGTCCAGTTTGTGGCTGTGCTGTAATCTGGCAGGTCCTCACTCGTCCTGCGCACTGTTTATTATGCTGGGGTCGGAATTCCGTAATATTACGTCTCCCGGCATCACAGTGGGTCGGCTAGGGATGTGCGAGGAACTGCCAGTTCAGCCTTCCCCGCCTTCCTCGCCACCACCAAATGCCTCGAGTGACGGGACCAGTCGCAGCCAGGCCCCTGCGACCGTAGTAGTTCCAACACTGCTTCTCGTGGCAGCTGTTGAGATGGCCACTAGAGGTGCTTCCTGGGTCAGTGCTGCACAATGTGCTCCCCATAGAGATCCATTGGTTCAATGCCTCTCTATGAGGAGATGCTGACTGGCGCAGCACAGTGTGTGGTAATGCATGGGTGCCTAGGCATTCCATGTACAGTGCTGTAAGTGTGCATGCATCCTCAGAGCACCATGTTAATTTGTAGAAATTGACATAATTTGTCTGTGTCAGGATAGAACGGCATACAATGCCAATGCCAAAAACAAAACAAAAACAAAACTCTACCCATAATGAACTTGCAATTAGATTTGGAATTGTACAAAAATTAGAGAACTGTGAATTCCACTAATCACAAACCACCATTATCTGAATCTGCCACAAGGGGGGGAAAGTATTCACTACAGTGATGCTAAGCATGGTAAAACACATGCACCAAGAAGATTGATCACTAAACATTGAATTATTTTCATATAGGCTTGTATCTCCCATCTTAGCTATGTTAACCAAAATCTACCAATAAATATTTAAATAGGCATTGAGCAGAAGACACATCTTTCTAAAATAGTGAGATTTATTATTATTACAGCATGTAAGTAAATCCTGCTTTTCGTTTGTTTTTATTTTTTTCTCTTCAGTTCATATAATTATTTCTTAAAAATATATTCTGAAAATGATTTGATAAATGTAAGACTATGCACAGTGTCATATCATTAAAGGGGCACAATAGTTGCAGTAAGTAGTTGATCTGGTGTGTATAGCATGTCCCTGCAGGCATTGCAATACAAACAGTGCCCTTTCAGATAAAAGGCATTGTTTACATTACTGCCTAGGAACACCTCTAGTGGCAGTCATTCAGACGGCCACTAGAGGTGCTTCCTGAGTCAGTGCTGGATAGTGCTGGTCAATGCATCTCTATGAGGTGATGTTGATTGGCGCAACGTTTTGCCATGCATGTGCAATAACCTCCCAATGCTTTCCTATTGAGGTCGTCAATTTTAATGATCTCATCCAAGGGCCAGCCGCAGCCAACTCACGCGGCTCTGGAATAAAGGTATGCTTATTACCTTTTTAAAGTGTGCCAAGGGCCTAAACTGAGTTTTAACACTATAGTGACAGTAATACACATTTGTATTCCTATCACTGTAGCGTTTCTTTAACATTTTTTTTTTATTCTTTATTTTTGTAGTGCTTAGATTGGTATACAAGCTTACAAAGACACAACAATAGTAGTTAATATGACAAGATAAATTACATGTATATAACAGGTCATGTCGAGAGATGTGCACTTTTTGTTTTAAATCAACATCAAGAATTAAACTTTCATGTCTAAATGCTACATCTAGGGTTTGTGAGCGTAAAAGTGGAATAGTGGTTGATGGAAGATACATCAGGCCTGATTTGCTAAACAGCAACCAAAGGATTTTCAGTTAAATGCCCCAGGGAGAGATGTTAAAGTTTGCAATATGCATAGCTGATGCTCTGCAAAAACATGGTATGGGTCCCTGGGGCGGAGTATTTGGAGAGCAGGGTGGGCCAATGCTCCACTCCACAGTTTAGTGGTTTTCTGGGGAGACATGGATCCAGGCCAGGGTTTTTTGGATCGTCTCCAACCCACTGCTCAGCTGCAGTTAATGAGCTGTTGCAGTGGGAATAAACTCCTCCCTGCTAGGCAGGTAAGGAGAGGGATTGCTGGCTTCCTCCCAGGAAGCAGGTAGGAGAGAGAGGCTGTTCTCTCCAGATAGAGTCAAGGAGACTAGGCACTGGGAGTGCAGAAAGGAAGCAGTCAGGGCAAGGCTGGCTTGGAGCACTGGGAGTGCAGAAAGGAAAGCAGTCAGGGCAAGGCTGGCTTGGAGCACTGGGAGTGCAGAAAGGAAAGCAGTCAAGTCAAGGCTGGCTTGGAGCACTAGGAGTGCGGAAAGGAAAGCAACAGGCTAGCCAGCAGAGTGTTGCTAACTAATAAGGTTGGTGCCATATGTTTTGTTAGTTTAACCCTGATAGAGAGGGATGTTCAAAGTGAGTTAGTGCTCAGACCGAGCTAGGTTTTTGTTTATAGGGTTTTGTGTTACATTTATGTTTTAATTTACTGCTGTATCCTGTGTGGATTTAACAATAAAGTGACTGGATTATATGCAAAGCAAAGGACTGTGCATGTTTTTGCCCTAGAGGACCGTGCTACCTGCTGACAAGGATCACAGGTTATATAGCATGAATATTACAAACTGCATAGTAATATAACAAGCTAGAGCTGTGACATATAGCTATATGCTTAATAGCCAATAGTTTAAAATGAGTGGTAGCTATATCTCAGTGAAGGCGAATAAAATATAACATGTAGTGTAAGCAAGGTACTGAGCATGTCAGTGAAAAAATTGTGGGAAGACAAGGTTATGATATACTAACTGACAAAGGAAGGAGTAATAGTACCACTGGATAGCAGATATTATAAGGAGCAGTCAGTCTTGAAACGTATTGGAGGAGCTTGGATCTCCGTGCTGAGTGCTAAAAGGGGGCACTCAGGGTGCTTAGATGTCGCCAGATCACTTCACCCTATGCCGCGAGTAGACCATAAAGATGATCTCCATTCCTCTCTCGATGTAACTCCCACTCTCTCTTCCGCACAATGTGGTAGGCGTAAGTGACTGTCCTGACGCTTGTTGTCTATGGAGTCAGTAGTGGCACTGATCTCCACGTCTTTGGCCCTGGGCTTTGAGGAGTGCCGGCGCTCCATGGGCCTTCCCGTGCTGTTGATGCAGGCCCCTAGCAGTGCAGCCGGTAGCTTGATGCATATGTCTCTTGGCCTGGTCGACAAAGTTGGGGGCGTAGCAGATCACAGCACTTCTACCTCTGGGGTCTGTGCGATGTGGAGTTTGTGTTCTTTGTGGCTTCTGACCATGCCGTTTCCTTTGCACTGTCCCTTTGGGGAAGCCCTGGGGGTGTTGAGACCTCAGGGTTCCCCGAGCGAGCTTCAGGTGGTGTAGCAGGTTAGTTCAAGCAAGTGGGGACCGGGATAACCCCCCACCATCCCCAAGGTCCAGGGAGGGGCAACAGGGCTGCAAGGAACATGTGTGTAGGTGCAGTGTTCCGCAGGATGAGAGATCGTC